AACATGTGCACTACCTGCATGTTTCTGCTTAAATCACCAGCAGTGAAACAGTTAATGCTGACGATTTTTCAGAGTGAGCACCCCACTGATCCCAGGGACAAACAGGTCTTACCTTCCAAAGTTATTGTTTCAGGTATTTACACCACTGCGTTGGCTTGTGTGTGGAAGGTTTTCTTCACAACCATAAAACTTAGATTCTTGATCAGAATGCTGCAGCAAGGGGTGGATTCTATGGCAAACTCCACCATTAAGGAATCACAGAAAAGCCCTGACTAAGAGCGTTAAACTGTTATGATATTTAATGAACTTAACTCAGTTCTAGGTAGGCTGGTAGCTCTTTGCATATCCAGTTTTCTAGCTCTAAACACTCCTGTCTTGTAGAAGTGATTTTATTTTATGTTCTTACAATAGTCTTTCGTAATCTTTACTGCAAGGATTTCTGATGTACTCTGCATTATATTCCTTTCACTTATTCAACATATAAACTGCTGTATTTGTGAATATTGCACATGTTGAAAACAATCAAAAGCTAATGAAGAAATGATTGTAATGAATTAGTAATACTCTTACATTTGTATTTAGAGTTGATTTTTACTGTTGGGGGTGGAAGATGATCAATAGGAATATGTAATCAGGTTGGATGTGTTTTTCATCTCCCGAAACTCCTCTTGTAAATTAGATGAAGCAACTCAAAGGGTTAATCCTGTAGATCAAAAGCTAACTGAAATCATTTTAAATACTCGCTTAGACCACCTCTTAGTAGATTTTCCTCAATTTTTATTAAGGTATGGAAAACAAAACTAAATTCCTTAAAGAATTAGGATAGATTTCATGCTCATCATGTTTTCCTTTATGTTTCAACCAAACAATCTTGTTAAGAATACTATCTTACTTAATATGTTCTTAGGTGCTGAATATTTTAGAATTACACATTTTCTGCACTTCTTAATTAGTTGAGCCTCAAAGCACATACTACTTAGGATACTGTACCTATGCTGATGATATGGATCAGAACAATAAGTCCTGATGGAAATCACTTTTATGATGAAGAGACTTAATGTGAACCAGTAGAGGTGAGGATTGATTGTTAAGGTCTATTGTTACTATAATTAGAAGTCAAACACCAATTAGCATTCCCATTAATAAGATAAATCTCTGCCATATCTGCAGCTGAGACCCAGTCTTGTCCTTATGCTGTGGTAACAAGCCTATCCATTTTCTGATAATACTCTGCATTTCAGAGTTTACTCTGAACTTCTACACACAAATACGCCATGTCAGACTACCTTATTTCTTGTTTCCAGTATTTTTATTTCTCTTCACTTCCATCCAACATGTTCTGTTTATTTCTACTATGCTTTATTTCACTGGGCTAGGTAGTGAGGGGGGAACAAATGCCGCTTCAGACTTCTAGATTGCAGCCGTTGGCCATTTCCTCCCTGTAACTGCAGGTCAGTCTAAATCTAATAGATTTCCATCCCTGGTGAATTCAGACAAGAAATGAATTTGCTTCCTGCAAGTATAAGGATTCTACACTTGTTTTTGATAAAAAAAATGTGTAGGTAATTTTATGTGTAAATTAGCAGCAGCAGTCTATCAAAGTTTGGGCATCCACTCCCTTATTTCAAACTACAGAACTGAGAAGGAGATCCATACCTCTCAACTGTCTGGATTTTATACAATATAACTAGTAGTGTGGGCTCTCCATAAGCAGAACTACTCATATCACGAGGAAGGAGGGAAAAGATAGTAAGAGAAAAAGAAAAAATGGCAGGAACAGGAAGGATAACAGGAGACATAATGCAACAAAAAGAAAAGCCATGTGCTAATATACTTTATTTACATTTTTTATGTATGGGGTAGAAATATACAAGTGCTATATATGGGAACTGGAGGGGAAGGAGACTATTTGGTGCAACTAAAATCAAGTTCAATGTTTTTTACAATTACTTAACACCAACTAAAGCTTTGCTTACACACAAAGAAAATAAAAATGCACCAAAAATAAACAGATACCCCATATTTATATTTAGATCATTTGTCCCACACACTGACTAATTTGGAGATAGGAAGAGGAAGAAATAAATAGTGGCCTAATCTAAATCGACTACTCAGTGACATTCTATTTTAAATAAGATTATACATACTGCTTATTTATACTTTATTTTGCTCAAGAACATGGAAGATGAAAAAATTCATGATCATTAAACCTCATTCCAAAATATAAAGTGCAACTGACTTATCCTTTTCTGAATTAAATGGGTAAAGCATATTCTACTATATATCCCCTTTCTTCTTCTCTTCCCAAATTATATTTTCAACATACTGGCTATCAAATATGTCAGGCTGATAGTTAAGGGCTACCACTCTGGGGACAGAGATTTAAAAGAGAACACAGACATGGATTCCAAAGCAAACACAGGAAAGAAACATTGGGCTGGTATAATCTCTGACTAGTATTGGAACAATTTAGTTCAGGGTAGGACTTCAGGAAAGCAATGAATTAATCACTACCAACCGCTCAAAGATCAAGTGAGCCATAGCCAATAGCTAAAAGCCCACAACATAATGTCCATTCACAGCATTCAAGTATCAGGCAATGAAGATGCTCTTTACCGTGCCAGAAATAATATTTCCTGCATTTTTCATATTTACATAGATGAAGTAATTACATAGTATGGCAACAAAAAACACTGTATAATTTACAGCAGAGTTGAAAATAACCTGAAAGAATATATTTCCAACAAGTATTCTCCATAGTCTGAAAAGCGTTAAAAGTATATAAAATAAAAATGAATAAGTAAAATAAAGTTTCTTGTTTCATATCCTCAAGGGGTGTATTCTGCCTTCGATATGCACCTCTAACTTCCACATACATACCAGCATCATGATAGAATAGCGACTGTGTCCTTACCAAGATCTGAGAGAAAATTACACGGATGGAAAATGGTTTCCCTTGGTTCCTATTCAGGAAACTAGTCTTTGTAAAATAGCATTTGTAATACATAAAGGAATTGCAAATGGCTTTTAGACCTTGATTTTATAAGCATTTTGTCCTTTTTATTTTATCTGTTTAACTGAGAAAAAGAGAGATTGGGCATAAGTTCCATATACAATGTGTCCTTGGAGAGCCACAAAGCATTACACAAGCTCACAAAACTACAGAGGACCCAAACCTACTTCCATTTAAAACCAATGGCAAAACCCACATTGACTTCAATGGGAGCAGTATCTGGCCCATATATAGTACAAAATAAACAGTGCCTCAGCATTATTACTAGAATGCATTATTGCTCCCATATTTCACGTTTTACAGATCTGAAGTGTCACAGAAGATTTAAATTTAACACATTTCCATTGTTATCACTTTTGCAGCCAATAATGAACCCTAATGTTCTGCGTAGGAGCATTTAAAGGTCTTTCATCTTCTGAGTGTCTGACTAATTCTAGATATTATTATGGTTGTGTCTTCCTTTTACACTTAAATTATTGTACTAGATCTTCAACTGGCTTAAATTCTCATAGTGTCACTGATGTCCATCGAGCTGCACCAGTTGGCCCATTATTAATTCAGTGTTTTAAATGCTTCTTCAAGTCACTTGTCTAATTACAGCTTTAAGCACTTAAAGCGTATCTCCATTCTCAAAATGACCACATTCAGGACTATCTAGACTGTTTCCCCTCTCCCCTGTCTTAAGCATTTTTAAGATAAGCTTTTCCGAAATAATTTACAAACCAAACTACAATACCTCCTATACTATAATTAATTAGAATTATGGTATCATACTGCATTATTTGTATACATATAGAAAAGAGGTGCATAGCTTAAGTGGACATTATGTGCAAAAAACAAACAAGAATGGGATTAACCAGTTATGGTGACAACACAGCCTTTCTTTAACAAAACTTCCACTATATATTTTTGCATGTTTCTTAGGGCTTGTCTAGACCAGTGTTTCTCAACCTTTTTCTGCTGGCGACCTGCTTTGGACTTACAGAAAAAAAAAACCAATGCCCCCACCCCCAAACTAGAAAAAATTGCACCCCCCTACCTTAAGCTCAGGGCTTGGGGCTGAAACATGTAAATAAGCTTCACTGGGCCGCCTATGGCGTGGGCCCCAGGCAACTGTCCTGCTTCGTACTCCCTAAGGCCAGGCCTGCTTGCAACCTCCCCAAACCTCTCCCGTGACCGCCCCAGGTTGAGAAACACTGACCTAGACTAACAGTGTGCAACAAGCTGGGGTATAAATCTACAGTGCACTAGCTGTCTCTCAATTTTCCCTAGTGCACAGTGATGTACTCCTGTTCCAAAGTGGAGCAGCTCAAAGCATACGAGGCTAACTTTAATCACTATTTCTATATAGATCCGGTCATAAACATGCCTCTGTGCATTTGCGTGTTTTTGGTCTATCAGCATCAGAGCTGGTCACAAATAAAATTAAATTTCAAAGATGACGAAGAAAACTTTTTTTTTGGGGGGGGGGGGCATCCACCAAAGTTCAAATAAAATCTCAATAAAAATTTGTCAACATTTCTAATTTTTTCTACCAGTTCTAACAACACTTATGATTTCAGCACAGCTCCAGGGATAGCTAACTGCCAAACTGCCAGGACAGAGCATGGGACCCTATTCTCATAAAAATCCTACTATCATGGAAGATCCCAGAAACCCCTATCAGGATGAGGGCCCTGTTATGCTAGGAGCTGTACAAACAGAGGTAGGTAGACAGTCCCCACCCTGGACAACTTACAATGAAGAACAACATACAAAAGGTTGGGGAAAGGAGGCCATCACTTTGTATACCACATTATATATTCAAACACACATGCACACTTACACTTATCTGGTATTTTAAGAGGGAATTTTAAAGTTTTATAATTACATAAATCAATATTGACTTTCCCCAAATGGCCTTGGGACTAGCTATTAAGATGTAATGGAAGTCACCCGTCCAATAAACATATGTCACTGGTTTTTGCTGTAAGAGATTGCACCATACCTGGAATAAATCCCGCTGACCATGTCATGCTGGAAAGAAAGCTCTGCTGTGTTGCCGGGACCAGCTGCTTTGGAAATAAGCAATACAACCAAACCTCGCATCTGTAGGTTATTCCGGCTATCATACACAAGCCCTCTGCCAAAAGAAGGAGGGGAGGGGGAAGAAAAAGATCAGGATTTTTCATAAAGCATTTTACCTCTTCAAACAAAATCCAAATTGAAAGACTCAGCCTTCAGAGTGACATCATAATTTCATCTAAAGTCTCTACTATTCACACCAGTGGGTGAAGGAAACTGCAGTTCTCAATCAAGATCTTTAGTCACCTTTACTCCATAATTTATGATGAAATGTTACTACTACAAATAAACACAATACTTCAATCTGGAATTCCCATTTCTATTTCCTAGGAGAAGTGTATGCCCAGCACTTCTGTAAAGTTGTCACCAGGAATATTTCTAGATAATTTGATGGTTATACAGTACAACAGTAATAATATGAAACATTTTTACCAAGTATAAAAAAAGACCAAAAGCAGCCATAAAGATGTAAGATGGGTGCAACCCAAATCTATAATCTACTGAAAAATAATTTTTTACAGCAGACCGGTTATATCAGAACAACAAGATTAAGTGCATTTTAGGAACAAACTTAGTAAAACCATAGAGAACAAGAAGACAAGAAAATTTCCATAAAAGTGAAGGAGTTAAATTCACTGGAGAAAGATTACCAGTTTGTTCAAACAGAAGAACTGCTCCAAATGCTTTATCTTTAAGTTCAGCTCTCTCTCACTGTTTCTGCCATGAACAATTCTTAATTACTGCGTAGAAGGTGGCAGCTCAAAAATTAGTTTGCTTAAAAACAAGCTTTGCTCTCCTCCTGGACCCCAAAATTCCTGGAATCTCTGCCTCATAGGCCTACCCTTCAGCATTCTAAAGAAGGCTAAAAGTTTAGAGTAAAAGAATTTTATATACCACAAGTGTTATGCAGTAATCTAACTTCCAATGAACTTGAGTACATGGATCTTTGATATTATCATAGCCTTAGTATTTATAAGGCTCATTTTACAATATGGTAGGTTACTAGACAGGTTGTATCCCATATTATTCGTGGCTATAATTCTCTGGCTTGATCTCCGGAAGAAATTAGATCATAACTGTCTTTATAACAACAGTACTCCAGGAAAATCTACGGTATCTTTTAGCTAGGTGATATTTATGTGTAAGAAAATCTAACATACATTACTTAATCTCAGAATACTTCATAGTTGTATATTACAAAACATTTCCACCATTTTACAATCCAAAGACAAACTAGAGTATCTTTCGGACAGTATTTAAATTGACAGTTCTATAAATACGAAAATTCACCATTTCCGTGTTAGACTCAGTGACAATTATGTTCACATTGAAGGCTGCCCCTGAATCCTTGACTCATTCTATTATGTCTCGATAATACTTACTGCTTCTATAGTGGTTTACATTTACAAAGTGCTTTACAAACATTAACTAATGTTGCAGTACATGCAATCCAGAAATATTGATTTTTCTGATAAACCTTGCCATAAAAGGATGAGTTAAAACAGGATAGCAGAGTGATGGAACTCATTCAGCAGCTTTTCAGGCATGTTATAACCACTTTATAGTTAAAAAAAATAAAATTAGTCTGTTGGAGGGTGTAACCATATAGATCATTGTTGCAACCAAGGTCATATAGTAGCACCAAATCTTGTACAAAGGAGGTTAAGTAAGGTTCTATGACAAGGTTATGATTTGCTGATTATGATTATGCTATCATTTTTGTATTTAAAGTTATAAGTATTGGCTCTATACTGTCTGTATTTCAAACTTGTGCTATGCTTCTGGGTGACACCCCAGACAAATTGGCTTCAGCACTGCCCATTAAGGACCATCATCTATACAACTGACCCATTGAGAGAAGGCAGATACACCTTGTGACTCAGCAAGGCATGCAGGCACATGCCTATGGACAGAACGCTAAGGTTTTTCCATGCCTTGTGCTGAGTGGCTTCTGGTTGGAACAAAGAAAGCACAAGCCACATGGCAAAAAGACCATAAAAGGCAGCAACAGCATCTCCATTTTGTCCTCAATCCTGCTTCTTACTTCTGGAGGAACCTTGCTACAAACTGAAGCTCTGAACAAAGGACTGTATGACCCATTCCAGCTGTGGATGTACTCCAGAGACTTGATTTGAACCTGCAGTATTCCATCACTGCTACAACCCTGAACCGAGAACTTTGCCATTCCTGTATGTAATTGATTCCATTTAACCAATTTTAGCTCTCATCTATATTTCTTTCTTTTTATGAATAAACCTTTAGATTTTAGATTCTAAAGGACTGGCAACAGCATGATTTTTGGGTAAGATCTGATTTGTATATTGACCTAGGTCTGGGGGTTGGTCCTTTGGGATCGGGAGAACCTTTTTTCTTTTACTGGGGTATTGGTTTTCATTTGTCCCTATCACAAGTGGCACTGGTGGTGATACTGGGAAACTGGAGTGTCTAATGGAATTGTTTGTATGACTTATGGTTATAGCCAGTGGGGTGAGACCGAAGTCCTCTCTGTTTGGCTGGTTTGATGTGCCCTAGTAATAAAGGACACCCAGCTTTGGGCTGTAACTGCCCTAATCTAAGCAATTTGTCCTGAACGGATACTCTCAGTAGCTTCCTGCCAGAGGCAGCATCGTTACAGAGGGGAAGGAGAAGAGAAAGACAGAACAGACTATAATTTGGCAAGTCAAGAAGAGCCAGTCAGCATGTTACTGGTATATAGGGTAGGAATAAAGCAGGAAGGAAAAGTCTAGGGAATAAGAGTCGGCTGAATAAAGAGGCGAAGGAGATCAAGTTTGGCTCTTCAAGTGTTGCCTCTATATTCACACTTGTGGCATGTGCCTCCCCCTGCATGCCACGGACCTACAGGAAAGTGGTGCCTGTTGGAGCAGTCTGAGCATCCTCTCACACCACTGAATGGTTGGAGTTCCAAAAAGCTCTGAGGAAAGGGGAAGGCGGGCATGAAGTACAAATAAGCAGAGGCAATGTCCAGAAAGAACTTCTGTTCTTACGGCAAGTAACCATTTCTTTTTCAAGTAAACTCACATTTTTGGGAGTCTAGCAAATACCACAAGCCCCAGGAAGGTGAGTTGTGACATTCTGAAACAAGAATTGCAGATCCGCCCTTCACAAAATAAGTATCAGATGCGCCTGTTAAGAAAACAATATTCTGCAAATATGTGTACAGAATTCCAAGTTGTAGTCCAGCGGATTTCTATGATGGAAACACTGATGCCATCTTAGTTTGGTAGAGAGAGATAAGAATTGATGTTCTGACATCCTAGCTAACATCTCATTTGCCAGCCTTTTTCCACTAGACAGGTGGATTCACTTTACATTCATCATTGAGGGAAGAGCAACTGGTGCCCAAAATATATTCTGAGGTCATGGGTAGCAAGTAGGGTTGCCAACTGCCTAATTGCACAAACCCAAACACCACTGCCCCACCCTCGGCCCATGGCCACGCCCCTTCCCTGCCCCTTCTCAGAGCGCCCCCCCCGTCACTCACTTTCACTGGGCTGGGGCAGGGGGGCCAGGAATGGATGCAGGCTCTGGATTTGGGGTTGAGGGGGTCAGAGTGTGGGAGGGAGCTCTAGGCTGAGTCTGGGGCAGGGGGAGTTGGGGTGAGGGGTCAGGCTTTCGGAGAAAGTTTGGGTGCGGGAGGGAGGGGTCTGGGTCGGGGTCTTGGAAGGAGTTTGAGAACAGGATGCGGGTTCTGGGCTGGGGCTGGTGGTTGTGCTGTGGGAGGGGGTGAAGGGGCAGTGCTAACCTCAGGTGGCTCCCGAAAGCAACCAGCACATCCCTCTAGAAGCAGCTCATAGGTGGGGGGGCAAGAGGTCTCCGCGCGCTGCTCCCACCTGCAGGCTCCGTCCCCGCAGTTCCCATTAGCCGCAGTTCCTGACCAATGGGAGCTGCAGAGTCGGCGCTCGAGGCTGGGACAGCGCAGGGAGATCCCCTGCCCCCTTCCCAGGGCTGCAGGTACATGCCAGCCACTTCCGGGAGCAGTGTGGGGCCAGGGAAGGCAGGGAGCCTGCCTTAACTCTACTGCAATGCTGGACTTTTAGCACCTAAAATCTCCCGGTTTGGCGTCAGTAGCCTCCAGGAGATAGAGCCTGATTCCAGGAGATTCCCGGCGAAACCAGGAGGGTTGGCAACCCTAATAGCAAGCTGCTCATCTTCCGCTCCCTCATCCCCAGTATCCTTCCTTCCTCTGCAAGATGATCATATTTTCAAACTGAAAAAGTGGGACACTACTGTTGGAGGCAGAGGGATAACTCAGTGGTTTGAGCATTGGCCTGCTAAATCCAAGGTTGTGAGTTCAATCCTTGAAGAGGCCATTAAGAGATCTGGGGCAAAAATTGGGGATTGGTCCTGCTTTGAGCAGGGGGTTGGACTAGATGATCTCCTGAGGTCCCTTCCAATCCTGGTATTCTATGATTCTATGAGGTACCACCAAAATTTTTTGGTGTGCGATAAAGGAAGTGAAAAGAAAACAATGCACTCTTTCCACTCTCTCAATTACACCTCCTTTCAGAATGAAAGCTGGGATACTTGACGGTAAGAGGCAGCATGAAGAAAAACAGTATTTATGTCTGACCTCTTATTCTCTCCTTGTCTCAACCTCTCCCTCTCCCTCTCCAATATAGCTCACACCCTCCCTCTTCCACTATTGTCTCTAATCCACAGACCATTCAGCCAAATCCTCATTCACAAACGATTCTGTCCTGCACTTAACACGGCCAACCCAACCCACCCCTATCCTACCTCCTGGCTCAGAGATCCTCTCCACACACCCACACCCCGACCCCCAGCTCAGAAACATGTGTCTTTCCCCCTGCCCTGGCAACACACACTTGGAATGATTGGTGTGAAGAACCACTCTCCTTCCCATCTAACTATCTCAGAACCACCCCTCAGTTGTGAAACCTGGACCGTAGGAGCTGGGAGTATGGATCACGTACAGGGAGCTGTACATTTTGAAGGTAGATGATCTAAGTAGCCCCACAAAACTCTGGGTTCCCCACTTTGTGCCTCCTCCCTCTGCTGCCTGTAGCCCATATGCTC